ACCTGGCGAAGCAAATAGACATATAAGTTCAGGAAGAGCAGAGAGTCCCAAACAAAATGAGCCTCAAAAGGCCCAAGCCAGACATGTATAATTAAAATGCCAAAAGTTAAAGACAAAGAGAGAATCTCAAAAATGTTAACATCTCAGGAAACTGTGCTGTGAATATTTCTTTTCTTTTGTTGTTGGCAAAATGGCTGATGAGCACAATTTTAAAACATAAAGAGGCCATCAAGTGTGCTAATGTTGCTAATGGTGTGAAAGTAACAATGATCACAGGACACTGAAGAGGTAGAAAAGCTGTTGTTGATTTAGATAAACAAAAAGCAATTAGCCAGTGACAGCATTTCAGAGGCAGTGATATGTGAAAAAGCAAAGATGCTGCATGCTGACCTCCTGAAAAACACCCCTGGAACAAGTGCTGAAAGTGATTCATTTAAAGCTAATAGTGGGTGCTCAATAAATTTATGTGTGTTTTTATATTACACAGTACATGTGTATAAGAAAGGTTGAAACAGGGAATTATTTGGGGATCTGGAATGAGTTATTTCAATTTACATTATTTTTAATGGGGAAAAAATGATTTAGTTTTCAAACAGTCTAGAATTCCAAACCATACAAAACTCTCTTCCAAAAATGAAGGTGAAATAGAGATTTTCTCAGACAAACAAAAATTGAGGGGATTTGTTGCCAGTAGACTTTCCTTGCAACTAATGATAAAATACTAGTAAGTTCTTCATGGAAAAGAAAATTAATATGTCATAAACTTGGGTCTATATAAAAAAAGGGAGATAATCAAAGAAAGAGTAAGTGAAGGTAAAATTAAAAAAAAAACTTATTTTTCTTATTCTTACTTTTTGATAGGAAACAGTTTGTTCAAAATAATAGCAACAATGTATTTATTTAAACTTATGCATGTTTATGCCTAAGTACAATGAATCAGGGAAATGATAAAAGAGTTGGGAGAGACAAATTAAGAATATCTTGTCATTATAAGGCAGACTACCTGTAAAGTGATACAGTGTTTTCAGAAAGTGGACTTAGATTAATTGTAAATATGTATTATAAAACTCATAAAAAATGACATAAACAATCTGAATAGACTTATATATCCTAAGGAAACTTAGGTAATAGCCTTGCAAAACAGAAGCACTGAGCACAGATGGAATCCCTGGTGAATTCAACCAAACGTTTGAGGAAAATATTATACCAATTCTCTACAATGTCTTCTAAAAAATATAAGCAGAAGGAATACTTCCTAACTAGTTCTCTGAGACCCACATTGCCTTACCACTAAAACAGAAAGGGTTTTACAAGAAAAATAAAACTACAGATCTATATCTCTCATGACAGATGCAAAAATCCTCAACAAAGTATAAGCAAATTGAGTCTAACAATATATAAAAAGAATTATGTATCATGACCAAGTAATGTTTTTCCCAGATATACAAGCCAGTTCAAAACCAACTAATATAACCTATTATATCAACAGAATAAAGAAGAAAAATCATATGATCCTGTAAAAGATACAGAAAAGGTGTTTTATAAAACCCAGCAGCCATTCATGATAAAAACTCTGAGTGAAAGAAATAGAGAGGAACTTCCTCAACTTAAAAAGAAACATGTACTAAAACTATATACCTAAGATCATACTTAATGGTCAGAAACTCCAAGTGTTTCTGCTAAGTTCAGGAACAGAACTAGGATGTTCCCTCCTACCACTGCCTTTCAACATTGTACTGAAAGTTCTAGCTTATGTAATAATATAAGAAAAAGAAATATAAGGTATATGCTAGGTCTGATAAAATAATGGAATCAATATCCCTTCCCCTAGGAAACTGACTTTTAGATAATTTTGCAACCAACATTCCCTTTTGCTTAGACAAGATTGCATTTGCTAGTACAGTGGGGCCTTGACTTACGAGTGTCCCGACTAACAAGTTTTTCGAGATACAAGCTGTCTCTCGGCCGATTTTTTGCTTTGAATTGCGAGCTAAAATTTGGGTTACGAGCCAGTTTCAGATACCCCACCACTAGTTGGCGCAGTGAACGTCACAGTGAAAGCCACAACATCAGCCCAGTATCACGTGTCTCACTCGTTCACTTTAAGATTTGACATACGAGTAATTTGAGTTACGAGCTCCGTCACGGAACGAATTAAACTCGTAAGTCAAGGCCCCACTGTACTAGTAACTTTCCCCTTCAGACTTGCCCAGGGTCCAGACCTGCCCAGAGAATTCCTCACCAAAAGAGCCCACCTAAAGTCCTTTAAAATCTCTGACTCCTTGTCCCTGGCAGGTGGCACCATTTTGGGGCTCAACCCACCTGGTTTACAAATGACCTAATAAATTTATAATTCGTTACCACTTTTGGCCTTGTGCATTCCTCCTTTGGTGAATAACATTTGGTGCTGAAACCCGTAGGGAAGGGAAGCCATTGCCCCAGCTTCGGTCACCCCGAGTTTGCTACTCAAAGAGCAGTAGGCAGCATCAACTAGTTCTGGGCTTACTTCCAAATCCTACTCAGGTGACAGGATCGCCAGCCTCCCTCCCTTACAGGCCCTCCTAAAACAGTAGAGGAGGATGTTGGATCTGGAACCTGTCCTTCTCCATTGCTGACCCTCTATTCACACTGGCCAATCTTCTGCAGGTGGGTGATGTTCCACAATTTCCCTCATCTCCAGTTTTGTCCACTTACTCTCACTGACTTCTTGAAAGTCCTCTCATTTTGAAAGTCATAGCATTAGGCAGGAGACTCCTCAGCCGTTTGGTCTCGGGCCCTTCTGGGGACACCTAGTCTGGAGGGTCACCCCTCGTTTCTCATGGTGATTTGTTTTGCAGTGGGGATGCCTGCCCTAAACAGTCACCTTTGGACTTGTGGTCTGTCACTCCCTCTTCCCCTCATGGGCCACACTTATTCTCCTTATCATGGGGAACACTCCCTCTGCACCCCCTAGAATGACCCTTCTTGGCTGCCTCCTTAGAAATCTCAACTGCCTTAGACTCAAAGAGTAGATCACGCCCAAGCACCTCATTTTCTTTTGTAACACTGTTTGGCCACAATATAAACTAGATAATAAGTCTCAATGGCCTGAAAACAGCACTTTTGATTTTAACACATTGTGTGATTTAGATAATTGCTGTCACCGCAATGAAAAATGGTCAGAGATTTCCTATGTCCAGGCCTTTTTCACCCTCTGGTCTTGACCCTCTCTCTGTCAGGACTGTTCTACCTATCAGATCCTTCTCCTTCACACAAAACTTCTGGTTCTGAATCTACTTTCGACATAGCAGAACACTGATCTCCACCCTCATACACGTCCCCTCCCTCACCTGCAGTGGATTCCAAAAACCCAGATCCTGCTAACCAGCAACCATCTTCTCCCTCTGAAACCAATTATAATAAGGTTGTAGGATACAAGGTTAATATACAAGAATCAATCACTTTTCTATATATGAGCAAAGAATAAGTAGAATTCAAAGTTAAAAACATCACCATTTACACATTAGCATTCCCTAAAATAAAATACTTAGGTATAAATATAACAATATATGTACAAGATTTATTTAAAAACTACAAAACTCTGATGAAAGAAAGCAAAGACCTAAATAGTTATTCTATACTCATGGATAGGAAGACAATATTGCAATGTTAGTCCTTCCTAACTTTAACTATAGACTCAATGCAATCCCAATCATACTCCAGAAAGTAATTTTGTGGATATTGATAAACTGATTCTAAAGTTTATGTGGAGAGGCAAAAGACCTAAAATAGCTGCCTCAATACTAATAGAGAACAAGTCGAGGACCAGCAGTACCCAACTTTAAGATTTACTATAAGTCATAATGTAAGCTAGAGTGGTATTGGTGAGAGATTAGATATATAGATAAATGGAACAGAATAGAGAGTCCAGAAATAGATATTTGATATTTGACATAGGAGGAAGGACACTACAATGAAGATACAATAGTATTTTTAGCAAATGTTGCTGGAATAATTGGATATTCACATGCAAAAGTAAATTGAGTCCAAATACAGGCCAAACAAATACAGGCCTACACACAAAAACATGAACTCAAAATGGATCATAGACTTAAAAGCAAAACACAAAACCATAAACCTCCTAGAAGATAACAGGGGAAAAAAAACTAGGGGCCCTGGATATGGTGATACCTTTTTAGATACAATGCTAAAGGCATGACCCATAAGAGAAATAATTGATAAGCTATAGTTCATTGAAATTTAAAGCAGCTTTTCTGTGAAAGACATTGTGAAGAGGCTAATAAGACAAACCAAAGAATGGAATAAAATATTTTCAACAGAAACATATGATTAAAGACATATGATAACAACCCAAAATACACAAAAATCTCTTAAACTCAATAATAAGAAAATAAAAAACTTGATTTAAAAATGCCCAAAATACCTAAATATACATCTCACCAAAAAAAAAATATCCAAAGAAGGCATTCAGGTGAAAAGATGTTCATAGCTTATGTCATTACAGAATTGCAAATTAAAATATAGAGATACCACTATACACCTACTAGAATACCCGAAATCCAGAACACTAACAATATTAAAATCTGTGAGGATGTGGAGCAAGAGGAACTGTCATTCATTGCTGGTGGGAGTGCAACAGGTACAGTCACTTTGAGAGACAGCTTGATGGTTTCTTAAAATACTAAATTACCATATGATTCAGCAATTATACTTTTTATTAACTATCCAAAACAGTTGAAAACTTATGTCCACACAAATAACTGCACATGGATGTTTAGAGCAACTTTATTCATAATTGCCAAAACTTGGCAGTAAACCAGATGTCCTTTAGTTGGTGAATGCATAAATAAACTCTAGAGCATCTAAACAATTGAATATTTTTCAGCACTAAACAGAAATGAGCTATCAAGCCATGAAAAGATGTAGAGGAAACTTATATGCATATTACTAAGTGAAAGAATCTGAAAAGGTTACATACTGTATGATTTCAAGTATGTGACATCTAGAAAAAAATAAAACTTCAAAATCAGTAAAAAGATCAGTAGTTTCTAGAGGTTGAAAGAACAGTATAAAGGACTTTTAGCACAGTGAAACTATTACCAGAGAAATTGGTGTATCCTCTTTACCACTGCGTGTTAGGGGTGAGGTCCTTACGATTTCTTGAGACAAATAATTTTCTGAGACTCACATGTGATTTTCACTTGCATGGAATTACATTCCTGGGTTTCCAAAGCTCCATTTCCCTTAGTTCAGGTATAGAAGAAGTGCAACTGAGATTTCAGTAGAGCTAAAATCAGAGCCAATGTCCAGAGTTTCCTTTCCATGTTGGAGCCGGGTCCAGTATAGCATCAGGCTAGCTGCAGTCCATTAGTCCATTGTGTGTGTGGAAGCAGGAGTGAGAGAGCCCTACAAGCTAGGAGTCAAATGCAACACACCAAGGGAGTGAAGTCCTTTGTTTAGGGGATTAAATATCCCAAATTTCATGCCCTTGCAGTGGCCATGCTTATTCTGGCCAATGACCTGTTCCCAGGTGTGACTGACAACAACCACCTTCGCATGTCACCCCAACTTTACTGGGCATGTGTCTATCTTCCCTTTGCTCCTTTCACATTGTTTTTGTTTGTTTGTTTGGTTGGTTGGTTGGTTGGTTTATTCACATCTAAGGATATTTTTTTCATTGATTTTTAGAGAGAGTGGAAGAGAGGGAAGGAGGGTACCCAATAATAAGTGGATTCTAATGGCCCCGAATATATGTGTGAGACATACATCTGTTGGTTGCCTCACCCACGCAACCAGGGCTGGGGATTGAACCTGCAACCAAGGTATGTGCCCTTGACCATAAATTGAACCCACAACCCTTCAGTGTGTAGACCAATGTTCTAAACACTTAGTCACACCAGCCAGGACAATCCTTTTCTGTTATTAATAACTAGGTTAATTACAACAGCATAAAAACTATTCTGCGTGATACTATAAAGGTGTATACATGTCATTATAGATTTGTCAATACTTATAGAATGTATAACATCAAGAGTAAATCCTAATGAAAACTATGGAATTTGGATGATAATGATGTACCAACATAGGCTCATTAATTATAACACATGTACCACTCTGGGGGGCATGTTGATAGTGAAGGAGGTTTTGGGGGTTGTGGGTTATATGGGAAATATCTGTACATTCCACTCAATTTGCAGAGAACCTAAAGCTGCTCAAAAAATAAATTATATAAAAAATAATCCCAATTTCAAATCTTCTCTTTATTGTGTCACATTTTTCTTTTTCTCAGGACTGTCTTTTAAAGGAATTATTTCAAATACAGGGGTGGGCAAAAGTAGGTTTATAGTTGTGAGTAGGCAAAACATGGTTTATTCTTGTATTATAACTAATTTATTAATTATTGTATTTTTCATAAGAAAAACTGTAAACCTGCTTTTGTTCACCCTTAAATATATAACTGTGATGTGAAACTATGCTGATAATAGCAAATAAACATTAGATAATTTCATAATCTGAATTAGTCTTGTCAATATATTAAATCTTTCTCAATTAACAGTACTCAATAATTAGCGGTCACTAATGGCCCCAAATACATTTGTTTTGGTTTCAGCATTACCTGGGGATTTACAATATTCCTCAGATATGTACTTTCTTTTTTTATTTAAGAATTTAATATTGTTTGGAAATAGATTGTTTCAGTGGTATATCCTCAGAATGTTGAGAGGACATAGGTGAAGCAATTATAATGAAAATGGAATTAAAAAGACTTAGGTTGGTAGCTGTGCCTTTCACTATTATGTAAACTTGAAAAGCCGTTTAATTTCCTTCGATTCACTTTCCTCATCTAAGTAATAGGAATAAGGAGGTTCATCTTTCATCCTTACTGTGATAATTACTGTATAATTAAAAATACATCTTTACAGAGAGAGCAGGAGAGATAGCCAAGTCCAGTGACTTATAAATAGTAAGTATTTAGAAGTGGTTACTATATATTGAACTCTCAATATATGCCAGCCACTGCTAAATATTTTGTGAATTTTAATCACAACACTGGTATGACGCAAGACATTATTATTCCCATTTAATAAATAATAAGATGGAGTTTCATAAAATATAAACAGTTTTTTCAAGGTCACATGGTTAGAAACCAACATAGTGTTCAAAATCATGTCAGTATCATTAACCCATGAACAGACCTGTTTGGGGTATCATAGCATTTATTACTGGATGGGAATTCATTCAGGCTGACAAGTGGTAAAATAGTATTATCTGCCTTTTTCCATTAGAGTCTAACTGACATGGCAGAAACAAAGTGAAGGTAGAAATGAAATGGCCTGCGGGATGTGCTATGCATCTGACGTGAACAGCAAGAAAATAGCCATAAATTAATGTATGTAGACAAGAGAAAAGAAATGTGAATGGAAACCATGGATTGGTTGCCCCACAGCTTTTATCTTTTTCGTTTTTCATGGTCTTTTATTTATTTATTTTTGTACCAACATCTGTTAAACAATGAGAAAGAACTGAACAACATTCAACATTTCTAAGCAGACATTACTAAGGAAAGTGGTTGCCTAGCAGCAACAATATATTGTTGTGATATTACAGTAAGGATTAATGAAGCATTAAATAGTTCATTTTAAAAGCTTAAGATTGCTTTACAAATGTAAGAACATCTGGTCTGTTTTTAAAAGTTATTATTAAGAAGCTTTGTATTAGTTTTATATGCTGTGTAACAAATTACAAAAAAAAATTAACACCTTAAAACAACACTCGTTTTATTATCCCAGTGTCTGTAGGTCAGATGTCCAGGCACAGCTTACCTGGGGCCGCTGTCAGGGTCTCCTGAGGTGTCAGCTGGGCTGTTTTTATCAGGAGGCTGGGCTAAGACAGGATCAGTTTCCAAGCTCTCCCAGGCTTGGGCAGAATTCATTCCTCTAGAGCAGCGGTTCTCAACCTGTGGGTCGCGACCCCTTTGGCGGTCAAACAACCCTTTCACAGGGGTCGCCTAAGACCATCCTGCATATCAGATATTTACATTACGATTCATAACAGTAGCAACATTACAGTTATGAAGTAGCAACGAAAATAATTTTATGGTTGGGTCACAATATGAGGAACTATATTTAAAGGGCCAGAAGGTTGAGAACCACTGCTCTAGAGTAGATGGTAAAATACCCAGTCGCTTACTTCTTCAAAACCATAAACAGAGAAAGTCTCTCATCTGGAGTGTCTGCCTTCAAGGAAAGCCTTGGCCCTCTTTTACATATGAGGTGTAACCTGCTGCTTAGAATAATCTCCATTTTGATTACTTCGAAGTCAATTGGTTAAGGACATAATTATATCTGAAATATCCTGTCATCTTTGTAATATAACTTAACATAATTACAGGTGTGATATCCAATCACCCTTGCCATATTCAATCAATTAGAAGCAAATCAGTTTCCACCAACGTTCAAAAATGTGAATACTAGGTTTTGAAAATCATGGAAACCACCCTCAGGGCTATCTACCAAAGGAATGAATTGATAGCTCAGTTCTTATCTTCCTTACCACAACTAAGACAAAGAGATAAAAGAACAATATTAACCCATTGTATGCCTGTAGACGCAAACAGCAGCCCTCCCCACACGCCATGCGCGTCTATAAAAAAATATATATATATATATTTTTCCTGAGTGGCAGTCCTGACCAACTTTAAAATCATTTTTCGTGAGAATTTTCATCTGAAGATATTCAAAAACACCCGAATTGTGAGTAATATATTTATTTTTATAATATTCATTGTAAATTGATTTTTTAAATTAAATTCACAATGGTGTGGCTTGTGGAGACTGTTTCCATTTTGAATGTTTGGCAGTTAAGTGGTTAAAATTGTTTGGTCAGCATTCATTTACTAGACAAATTGCCTTTATAGTAATTTATAAATAAACTAGAAGCCCGGGGGGGGGGGGGGGGG